GCGGGGGGCGGGGGGTGGGCACAGGCAGTGTGATGGAATTTCCATCTACAATGGAACCAGAAGTGTGAAATAGGAAACCCCATGCAGAGTCAGGAAAACAGAGCTCATGGACCAAGAGAGACTGGTTTCCCATAAACGCCTGGCTAGGAAACAGGTAACACTGGGATTTTCTTAGAGGGAGCTGGTAGGGGTTGCCTCGCATCAGCCTTGGGAAGTGTTGCTTATGCTGTCCAGAGGCGTGAACAAAAACCCACGCCGGTTGGGTTAATCTCACAAAACACGCTGAATTGAGCTGTTTGTCTGCAGCGCGTTTTCAAGGCTGGTCTCCATTTGCTCTCCATTTTAACGGACTCCAGCTGAGCTCTCCCTCCTTCCATTCCCTGCTCACAAATACCGCCTGCCCTCCCCAGCCCTCTGCAGGCTCCCCTGTAGCTTTACAGTTCACGCGGCCCAAATTGCAATTCCTGGCTATCACTGAATAAACTCATCTTTTTTACGGTCTTGGTCGTATCTCCATTTACCTCTTTACTGAGGCCGATAACAGGCAGGTGGCAGACTGTCCCCACCTGTGTCACTTTAGTTCTCCCTTTTGTGCAGCAGGCACCACCTGTGTCCCAGCTCGGACCACAGCCCCCCTGCCTTGACTCAGGTTGCCCTAGCAGAATACCATGTGGGGGGAGGGCTTAAAAATAAGGCATTCATTCCTCACAGTTCTGGGAGGCTGGGGTGTCCAAGATCGAGGTGCTGGCAGATCCTGTATGTGGGGAGAGCTCTCCTCCTGGTCTGCAGACGCCACCTTCTCACCGTGTCTTCACAAGGTGCGGAGAGGAAGCTCGGGCCCCCCTATTCTTACAGGGACACCGACCCCATCATGGGGGCCCTACCCTCATGATGTCATCTAAGCCTCGTTGCCCCCCAGAGGTCCTACCTCCTAGTACCGTCACCTTGGGGATTCAACCTATGAATGCTGGGAAGACGTTGTAACGTGAAATAAACGAATCCACCTGAAATGGAGGTGGAGCTGCCGTCCTGAGGAACGCCTTGAGGGTCTCCGACTCATGCTTTTTGAAGGTTAAACAGGCACAATAACCGCCGGACCTGGCCCAAGCAGCACTGTGCCCCAACCACTGCTCACAAAGACAACATCTGCTGATACGATGACTGCGAAACTGATGACTACGGGGCAGGGGGTGGGGGTGGGCAGTGTCCAGAAGGCTTCCACAGTAAACATGGAAAAGGCTTGCACAGGAGCACGCTAGGAGGGGGTGCTAGGAGGGGGTGCTATGAGGGGGATGCAGAGGGCTACTTGGCATCTTCCTAAGCAGGTACGTCCTTCCCCTCACGGCTGACCTGGGGCCACACCAGGAGCTGCCTGGTTCTATTACCGCGTGGACAGTGCCCTAGAAACAGCTTTTCTTTGACCAACACCGACCTGCTTGGCTTTGGGGTGGCTGCACTCCAAGGTGAACAAATCGTTTCCTGCTTAGAAGACGATCACTCCAAACAAAGAAGGTAAACATAAACGAGACCCTGGGCCAAAGTGCGTGGTGTTTGCCTCTGTGTTTGGGTTCGTACTGGCTTGAGGGTAGTGCCCAAGAGCCTGGCCAAAGAGTCGGGCAGAAGGGCCATGGGAAATTGGCCTGTTCAGATGCTCAAATGGGGCATGGCGCTGGGGAAGGCACTGGGGAAATTTGCAGAATGCATTACAGCGGTGCGTGTCAGATGCATGTGGTGACTGCAGGTGAGTGTATGTACCAGTGTGTTCGTTCGCGGTGGCCTCCTTGGTCCATGGACTGCAATAAAGCAGAAATGGGTTCCATCAAGACGCATTCCTCTTATAGCCCTGGAGGCACAAAATGCCAGTAAGAAGTGTCCTGTTGCTCTAGCTGTTTTGGCTCAGTAGATAGAGCGTCAGCCTGTGGACTGAAGGGTCCCAGGTTTGATTCCAGTCAAGGGCACATACCTCCATTGCAGGCTCAATCCTGGCCCTGGTCGGGGTGCATGTGCAAGGCAACTAATCGATGTGTCTCTCTCATGTGGGTGTTTCTCTCTCTCTCTGTCTCTCCCCCTCCTTTCCACTCTCTCTAAAAACCAATGGAAAAATATCTTCAGGTGAGGATTAACAAGAAAAGAAGTGTCCTGGGCTAGACATGGGCCCTGACAGGAACAGAGGGACTCTGGACCGTGTGCACCAGGTGGTAGATACGAATGCTCAGAGCGCAGCAAACAAGCCAGAACAGAAGATCCTGAACCCAGTGAGGCTGCCAAGTTACATTTTCTTAGACCCAGGGACACATCCTCATACTCAGAGTAATGGTTCCGTAGGTAACTGGACCGGCCAATTAAAGCAATTAAAACAGCTGGAGACATACCTACATAAAACAGCTTGTTTACATGTCCTCGGGAGTGTTTGCTCACACTCACCATGGGGGTGCTGAGGGTGTGTCCCCACTAGGTAGATCCCTCTGCTTTTCTGATGGATCTGGGGGTAAGGGGTGGCGGGGGGGCGGGGGGACAGGAAGCTGGTATGACTATGCCATTCTTCCCACCATGGGGAGATAATGGTATGACTATATATTTTTCTTTCTTCCCCACATCACAACTTTTTCCTACCTGAGGTAGTAATCCCAGAACTGGTCTGCAACTACAATGGTCAGAAGCAGGCATGATTTCTAGGCAAGAAATTATAACTATGCTTTTACCCTTTTATGGCAGAATCCCTGCGGCCCTGACTGTGTGGGCTGTACTTTCACTCCATCGGGCACAAATGGGGTTAGTGATGCAGGTACCCGTATGGCCTAGTGGTAGAAACCACAGGAGAAGGGGAACTAACAGCTGAGGGTAAAGGAATGGAGCTATAGGTTATGCAATGAGAGAAATCCAATCTTTTTCACAAAAGGCTCTGAGCTCTATGATGAGAGGGTGAAGCTGAGACCATTCCTTCTTTTGGAATCTGAACCTCAAACAAAGCCTGCACACCTGTGTGGCCTTGCCCCAGGGGACATGTTCATCGTATGATACGATGATGGACCGACTAATTATTGATGACTAACAGGAACTCCAGGAATGTGCCAGTACCTTTGACCTTTATTTTTCAGGTTCGTCTACCATGATTGCAATAGTCTCTAACAATCACTGGCATTGTTGGTAAAATTGTAAGATCGATGTGCAATGGCAAATACTGGGACATGCTTTTAAACTAAAAACCTACTAGATGTACCCCACACTCACTCCTCCAAACACGTGGTATATTCACGTTGCTACTATTGCTTTATCTGTTACATAAATGCTGCACCCAATATAGATGCTCAGACAGGTATGATCATGTTGCCATAGGTAACCAAGGTCAAAGGCCAGGAGAGGGGAGGGCAGACAGAGACTGACTCCAATCAATTCTGCCTACAGATTGGAACCCATAAAAATGATGGACGCAGAGGCTAAGTGGGTTTCTGTTTGGTGAGTCCACTGATGTGCTGGGAGGGCACAGCGCCCTGACCCACAGAGAGAGGGCATGCAAGCTCCGCTCCTGGGCCCTCCCAGACCTCAGCCTACGCATAGCCTTGTAATAGCGCTGGAACAAGTACAGGGCTTTCCTGAGTTCTGTGAGTCATTAAGAGTGGATGTCAAGCTTAAGGTGTCATGGGAGCCCCTAGATTTATAACCCATGCTTTGGAAATGTGGAAGGCCTGGGGCTCCCCAAATTGTGGCAGATGTCTGAAAAAAGGGCAGTCTTGTCAAGGACTGGGTCCCTGATTTGTGGGCTCTGATAGGGCCTCTGGTGGTTAGTGTCAGAGTGGCACGCTGCCACCCAGAAAGCGATGGTGGTGGGATTTTTTATGTCATTTTGCTCTGTAAGGGGGATAGAACTCCAGGGGGAAGACGCACGCATGTGCACACAATCACACCACATCAGCTCACATACCCCACCCCCATGACATCAACGTGGACCATCTACAACCGCCTGAAGAAACGTGGCCCTGGGGCTTTATCTAGAAAGGCACTTCCCTTTGCTGCATGATTAACCCTCGCTCCAGCAGAAAGCTGGGACTGGGTGGTTCCAAGCCGGCAAGGAAGACTCACCTTTCTCAGCATCTGGATTATTTTTCCTCAGGAAGTGACTGACCCAGAAAATGCACATTTTTTTGTCTCTCTTGAGGCCACCTGCACTTCCAGGAAAGAAAGCGCTGAGTGTCGGGCCAGGCAGAGTCCTGGTTCACAGGCCCTTTGTTCTCCTGCTGACCAGAGGGGAAACGGTGGTCAGGACAAGGGAAACGCTAAGCAAGAGCAGAGGACACACACACGCCAGGAGGATGTCTCTCAAGTCTGTCTTGATGGGCAACCACAACGTTTTTGGGTTTTTTTAAAATATGTGTTTATTGATTTCAGAGAGGAAGGGAGAGGGAGATAGAAACATCAATGATGAGAGAATCATTGATCAGCTGCCTCCTGTGGCCCCCTAATGGCCCCCCCATGCCCTTTACTGCCCCACCTCCTCCCCACCCCCCACTCACCCCACCCTCCACAACCCGGGCATGAGCTCTGACCAGAAATTGAACCGTGACCTCCTGGTCCATAGGTCGACGCTCAGCCACTGAGCCACGGCGGCTGGGTTTGCAACCACAATGTTCTTAATCAAAGAGGATAAATGGCTGCTAAGAAACGGCCGTTCCCTGCTCCCTCCAGCAGTGCACACGTGAGCTCCCGCTCTGAGCGCCTGTGAGCTGGCCTCGGCTGGCAGGAGACCACCCTTCCAGCCACAGGGAAGCGGTAACTAACCCTGTGATGCACATGACCAGGTTTTCACATCTGATCTCCCCGAGTAAGAACAAAATTACAAAAGCGACATTTCTTTTGTTTTTGAAGGTAAAACATTGTTAATTTTATTCTTAAACCACAAAATAGTGTTTGGTTGTCCAAACATCACCAGTTACAATCTTGCCAAGAGGTTGGGGAGGGTGCAGTTAATCGGTGGCCAGAAGTCCTGAGGAATCTCTCTAAAATTCTAACACCCAAATTAGAAGACTTGGGTAAGGGTGGTGTTGGAGCTGGCAGGGCCCCATCCTGACCCTCTAGGTGTGTCCTGGCCCCACTGGGTGGCAGCTGCTGGGCAGTGTCACCTCCCCGGGGCCCGGGGCATCTGGCGACAGCCTATCAGACGCTTCCAAGGACCTCAGCTCCTCAGCAAAATCTAGGGACAGGTGTTCGGGGAGGTGCTGGTCTGAGGGTCAAGGTCTTCCAAAGGGGTGGGTGTGGGGTGGGGGGGCTTGGGCGGCCGCTTCAGGGGCCCACGCTTGCTCCGTCCACCCTGGGACTTTCTGAGAACTATCGGTGAGTCATCCTGGCCGCCCTCCACAGAGCACCTTCTCTGCCTCCAGGGCCTGCACTGGGGGAGCAGGGCAGCTCTCAGGGCCCTGTGGGTGCTGCTCAGCTTCGCCATCTGGAGGGCCCGGCCGAGCCTGCAGGCTTCGCTCCCAGGCTCTTCCACACCCACATTGGTCACCTGAGCTGCTGGGGTGAGGCGTGGCCGGTGCCTCCTCCTCACTGCCTGACGGGCCTGAGGGAACTTGATGACACTGACTCAGGGGGTCGCTTCAGCTCTCAGATGGGCTGCTCCGCTGCCCTGTCCTCCAGGCTGGGTGGGGTCCTGGGACAGCAGGGAGCCGCTGAGCACCATCTCACGGTCTGGACGTCTTCCTGGGCCTGGAAGCGCAACAGGGGCTGCACCTGGTTCTTAGGCAGCCACGGGGCCTGGAGTTGGGGGGCAGTGGGAACAGCAGGCTCTACAGCCAGTGCCCAGGCACGTCCAGCACCCGCAGCTGGCAGTGTGTCTGAGGATGGCCAGGCGGCTGACCCTCAAGGACAGGACACTGAGTGCCTCACAGCCCCGATCTGGGGGGGGGGGGGGGGGGCAGCGCCTCCAGGCAGTTCCAGTCCACACTGATGTTGGTCAGCTTGGCCAGCTTCCCCAGGAGCGGACAGGGCCCTCAGTGGGTCTCTGTGAGGACCACTCTGATGAGTTCTCACCTCATGCCCCAGGCGGCTCTGGCCCACCCTCGGATGGACGGATGGACAGCTGTGTCAGCTGACCCGGCCGCCAAGAGCAACTGCAGCGGGGCCTGGGGCAGCAGCAGGTCGGGAGCAGCGCCAGCACCA